CGGGGGCTCAGCCGCAGCCGTCGTCCTCTCGCCATGTGCCGCCCTGCTAGGCATGTGCTGGGTTCCCGTCCTGTGCAATGAGACGTGAAGCGTGTGTGGGGGAAGAAGGGAGAAGAGAGGCCTGAGGGAGAGGTAAGAGAAAAGCTGAGGACAGGCCTAGGCACTCTGTCTCTCTGCCTCCCGCTCGGTGTCTCCAGTCCTCAGTCCCACCACAAACTCCCGACTCCCCCGGGCTCCACGCCAGCTATGGGGCACCCCAGAGGGGCCCTTGGCTTTTTTTCCCTGGGCGGCCTCACGTGGCCGCGGCACGCGCCGCAGACCCACCGAGAGCCAGAACTGGTAATGCCTACCCCGTCGGGCGAACGCACCCTGGTCGGAGTGCGGGGCGTTCGTGGGCTTTCGTTTGGAGCCTGTCTGGGCCCTAGTGAGGGGGTGGGCCCTCGGTTTTTTTCCCTGGGCGGCCTCACGTGGCCGCGGCACGCGCCGCAGACCCACCGAGAGCCAGAACTGGTAATGCCTACCCCCTCGGGCGAACGCACCCTGGTCGTAGTGCGGGGCGTTCGTGGGCTTTCGTTTGGAGCCTGTCTGGGCCCTACTGAGGGGTCCACCTGTGCAGTACATAGGTCACTCACTCAAAGAAATGATTCAGGTGGTTAGTATTTTGAACTCAAAATACATACTAAACTAAACTCAATAATTGATTTTTGCCAGTTTTACTTAAATTAGTGTGGTCGCAACTCATTTTAAACATGCCCGTCTCAATTAAAAGTTAATACAAAAATCCTAACTCATTTTTGTAACAAATTTGAACTTGATATTCTGGCATAACTGGACAACGGAGAAGTATTGAGTTTGCTCAACATGAAAATCCTCTTGTAAGCCTGGGGGTCCATTAATGAAAAAACAAATATATTGAGTTGATTCAAAATAAATATATTGTGTTGATTGAAAACAAAATGTGGCGAAGCAGTGACGCTACCCAGAATGCATTGCAGCGAAAAATATAAACTTCTTATAAATTCTACATTTGAGCATTAATTTTAAAACTGAATATGAAGCAAGTCCTAAAGCAAAATACTTGAGCAACATTCTGAATAAACTAATTTGACCAAATAAGTAATTGTATTTATTTTTATCAACCATGATCGAGAGGGCCAAGCCAAAGCAGTCCTGTGTCACCCTTCAATTTTGAACAGATACTTTAAGGTGGACATGTTTACCAGTGACTGTGCTGGCCCACTCTCATATATATGTGGAGTGAGAGACTACTGCCTAAAATTAACAATTGTGAACCGTTTTGTGAATCTAATCTTTGAAAGATGGTATTTGAATAAAGATTACGTATTCCTGACTGAAAATCACTTGTTGAATATACTCAAAAATATTTATTTTCAATGTAATTATTTAAGTTGGTAGTATTGTTAAAATTGAGTTGAACTGATGCTAAAACACTTGCTGAATATACTTAACAAAGTGTCTTTATAACTCAATTATCCAAGTTGGTGGTATTGAAAAAATTGTGCTGGACCAATGATAAAAGACTTACAAAGAATACTTAAAACACAGTCTTGTTCGCAAAACTTAAAAAGATGCATGCAAAATGCTGCCTCAATTTTATTAAGTTTTGCCAATGCATTTTTTTTTTAGAGTGCTGTTTACCACATATTTTACTAATTTAAAATAATTGCAGCATTTTTCAAATGAAGTCAGTATGAATTGGAGCACATTTTAGACCAGTCTCCTCTGCTGTGGCATCAGCAGGAGCAACAAGGTCAGGCGTGTAGTCAAAACAAAAACAAAAGTCACCACTTGCATGTGAATTGGGTATAATACTTTTACAGCCTAATTCCCTCTTTCTTTTTTAGACGAAGTCTATAATCAATAATCACTTTTAACAGATTCTAATTTAAATGTTTGAAAAACGGCTTTTGTAACTAAAATAAAAAATACATGAAAAAATTCTCACAAACAGCTATGAAATATATCAGATACAATAATGGACTCACAAAATAAGCAGCAGATTTAAAAAGAAAAGCAAAGCTTTTTGTACTAATCTTTGGGTTTCAAAAACATACTAATTCAAAACTTCTATTCCCTAATGGTGTTTAAAAACGTTTAACTGTGTCTAACACAATGTTCAAATGGAAAATTTAGCAAATTTAACGGAATAACTACTATGAAAAGCCAAATTCCTAAAGCAGTAGCTCCCCTTTAAATCAGAGCAGCAGCTCAGCAGCAGCGAGGGCGGGGGGGTTCCTTTCACACAGACGCGCACACACAGGCAGAAAGACACAGAAGAAGAACTTTCAAGATTAATTTTTTAAGCGAATATAACTGATGTTGTAGTTTATACTTTTGTCATCCAAGTCTAGAATTGATCACTTTCCACACTAGTAACAAAAGGCACTCTTTAGTGTTTAACGTTTCCCTTTTTATAATTACTTTTAATTCTACACCATGGTTTCTCTCAAAGGGACTTTAACCCTGAAGCTTCTTCTCAAAGGGACTTTAACCCCGAGACTTTCTCAAAGGGACTTTAACCCCGAGGCTCAAAGGGACTTTAACCCCGAGACTTCTTCAAAATACAATTTAGAGAGTTTGACAGACCCCAAAAAACAGACCAAAATTTAGCTAATATCCAATTATGCAGACTTTACATATTAAAAAAGGTGTCTGCTTACCTTATTCTTGTCAAACCGGTTCCAAGGACTGTCCGAGAGGTCTGCCAACTCTTTTCCGCGTCGGAATCTTCAATTTAAAAAACAAAAGTGACAGAAGCGACAAGAAGCATCCAGGAACAGCTCTTCCAGCCTGCTGGAATCCCCGTTCCCAGACACAGCATGCCGATCTCTCACGCAGAGGAAAAGAAACAGAGCAAAACTCCCTCAAAACAATCCAGAGAATGGCACACACTGAGCCGCGCATTCTCCACCAAATCTGTTAGGATTTAAGCAGACAGAGACGGATCGTGGTGTGCCAAACTCTGGAAGTTTATTTACGTTTCTCTCAAGTTCCACTGGTTTACTCTGTTTCTTTCCCTCAGACAGAATAAAGGCAGTACACAGTTTATATAGTCATTGTCACGTCACACATCGAAAGACATACGTGTCACAAAGAGACAGTCAAATCATAGTCATAACATGGAGTCCTTGTAGAGTCCTTGTACAGTCCTGCACGTAGGCCATATTGCTATCTAATACTAACACATTCATTGGTCTGTGGGAACTATGTATAGAAACTGCCCATTCCAAGTACACACATTCAAAAAAGCCAGAGACATTATGTGGAATCGTGTTTTAGAATGAGGTTTTTACAGGAATGCATAGAAATGACATAACATATTTACATAAATCATACAAATTCCTAAAAATGTACCAAATTTTAAAAGTAGGCAAGATTGAAAGTCACATGGCCTGTACCTTTAAAGCACAGACTGTAAATGAGGAATGGACCCAGTGCTACATAGTGCTAGCCTTAATGCGGAAGAAGCTGATTTGAACATAAGCTAGCTGGAGAAAATTTCCTAATAAGGGCATTTGTACAGACGGCGTTAGCTTTGCGTATTAACAGGGTCAGACCATAGACTGTATATCTTAACGGACAGAGTCACGCCTATCTCCGCCGTTCATAGGAGTTGGCCATAAAAAGTGCTTTCATGGAGCATTCCAAGATGGCCGCGAGTAGTCCCGCCCACAAGAAAATGGTGAAAAAACGCATCTGCGCATGCGTCAGCCGGCGCAGCTCCATTCATTTGAACGAGAGACTTCAAAAATTCACAGCAAGTAAACTAGAGTGGACCAAAAAAAATCCACCCCCCTCAGCATCGACACACATGTGGAACGGAGCTTTGGGCCAAGAGCCAACTTTTGGTCCATCCTGTAAAGACGTTTTCGAGAGGTCAGAAGATGCTATATGTTAGCATTGGCTAATTCTTATTCCATGTCCACCCCCATCGGCCCGGGGTGGTATTGCAGCGCATGTCATTTTGGCCACTTTTGAGCCTGGACCCGCCCCCACTGGTTATTTGCTCCCCATTCCTACTGTTCTGTAACTTGTAATGCAACATGTAAATTTCCCCACTGTCGCACAAATAACAAATCTCTCTCAAATCTATATTCAAAATAGTTCCTCCCCTTGGTTTAACTACGACTAGTAAGATTTCCTGGAGGAGACTAGTTAAACCAATGATGACGGTCCTAGAGGATTTGAATACATTTCAACCAATCAGGAGGCTGCGGGGGCGGGGCTAAGCAGTGCGGTTTTTAAATAGCTTCATTCTCAGTTCAGCTGGTTTAAACATGCTTTCTATTCTCTGGGATGTTAAAATGACTGATACTAAAATGTAGTGAGGTATGATTAAAGAGCATCCACTTGACGTGAATAAATAAAAAAGTTAGATTTTGTGATTGCAAGTTTGTTATTTATATGAAAATAGTTTGTGCATAGCAGCTCTCAAAGACAAGTTAATCTGTAATCTTTAAATTGACCTTAAAGATGGTGTACCTGGTTTAGTTTGTCTCAGCAGAAAGTCTTGTAGAAGTACCATGTTGTGAATACATGATCTTATTAGAAAAAACACATTATCTTGTGTATAGTTGTATGAAAGATCCCTGTGAGTCACTATTTGACTCTTTGGGCTGAGAGCTGATTGGCCGAGAGTGGGTGGTCCTCTCTTTTTTCACTTTTCTGTCAGAAAAAGCTGACCTAGAGATGTGACAGAGGCCAAACACACATGCATTTTAAAGAAAGTGAGTAGCTATAGTTACATTGATTTCCATACAGTTACATTTTGTTGAGTTTTGAAAGTTAGGTACCCCAGCTTTAACCCTCCTGACACCTGCCGCATGACATGGAACAAGATTTTCCCTCTTTGTATTTAGACAGTGACAGTTTTGTAGTTTATAAATAGTTTGATCTTTGGTCTTTAGTTTTAAAATCACGGTTGAGGATGCATGCAGTACAGATTGTGTCCACAGGGGGCAGCAGAGGGCGACATCAGCTCATGTCAGATCACTGGAGAAACTCTGTTCGTTCAGCCAGTTCCACTTCTGTAACATCTGAGAGAAACAGCAGAATCAGAAAACACATCCATTCACATGTGATCTGTGTTTTTTAGCCTCTTGTAGCAACCACTTATGTACTATTGCCAAAAAACTTTATTTATCTAATTGAATCAAAATTACAAGTCAAATCATCAACTTAAAACCACACATATATGTCTATTTTTCATAAATATTGGGACATTTACATAATTACATAATCTTGGCTCTATATTTTGAACTAATCTAAAGAGTTTTAGCTTCAATTTATTGTATTCATTGTGTATTTAGAGGCAAATCGAGAGAAAGGGGCAAAAATAACTGTTTTTTTTATGTGACCCTCTCATTTTTGATGGTCAAAGTAGTAGGACACACTTTAGCCTCAGTCCTTCTACAGCCTGAGTCCTGGTCTCCCTGAAGTCTCTCACTTTTAAAAAAGAAGTTATTCTTTGCAGATGCAGGTGGGTAATTTATGGGCCATTTATTAACATTTATGGACATTGGTCCTCCCGCTCCCTAATATATGTGTTTTCTGTGTTATTAATGAATAGGGAATTATTGGGTAAGGAGTTGAATGTGAGTGTGATAATTGACATGTTTTCATGCCCTTATTCTCACTGCATCTTGTGCCCTCGGTCCTCGTTCTACAGCCTGAGTCCTGGATCTAAAGCCTGTCTGTCTGTGGGAGTGGATCCCTCTCTCTATGTGGGTCTCCTCAAGGTTTCTCACTTTTTTCCCACTGTTATTTTTAGTAGTTCTTTTGTCGATGCAGGTTTGTCTGAGGACAGTGATGATCCTGGTGTCATGGTTTATGTTTATTTTGTTTTTTATTTTGTAATTTGTTAACCTCTGTGTCTTCTTTAGTGTTACTTCCTGTTTCCTGATTACCTGCCCTGCCCTCACGTGTCTCACCTGTGTGTCGTTAGTGCATTTAAACCTTGTTCCGTCAATGTCATTCCCAAGTCAGTTTTCCTTCTTGTCCTGTTTTATTTATTTTTTTCTCTTGCTTTTGTTTTGCTTTACATTATATTAATATTAAATTATGAATATACATAACCATTGGTCATCCCGCTCCCTATGAACCAATGGCTCCTATGTGTTTGTTATTATTACATTTCCTGTGTTCCAACTGTTTTATTCTCTGATCTTTTTCTGGTGATTTAGGGCTATACAAAAATACATTGAATTGAACTTAGAGTGTGTGAATGCAGGCTCTAGCACAGTCAAACCCTATGAAAAGTCTAGCTTTGCATGTTCCCAGAAGTACCTCCACGCTGGTGGCGGACTCATCCAGCGAGTCCTGAAGCAGACTTTGGAGCCGGCATTCATAGGTCCTGCTCTCCTCCACGAGAGACTCATCCCTGGTCACAGACAAAGACACACACACAGACACAGATACACACACGCATAAACACAGACACACACACACAGACACAGCGTCAAAGCCAAACACATGTTACAGTATGGTTTTATTATCATACAGAGATGGTTTCACTCACAGCTGTTGGAGGCTGTGTTTTGGAGTTAGTAAAGGCGGCACAGAGGCTTGTAAAGCTTCTGGACTCTCGCTCACAGGACTGCGGACTTTACTCTGCACAAAACACAACAACAATAAAACAAAAACTCTTGTTTCTTAGGTTTTGTCCAGGAGTTGATTGATAGGAAGAGAAATCAAAACAGTGAATCAGCGCATGCAGCCTCTCTCCCCAGTCTCCCACAGTTCTCATGTCAACGTGGAGAAAATGTGTTTTTGGGAGTAAATACAGTATGTGATGGCAGTATTTGACCCGAAGACAAAAAATGCGGCAAACGTGGCTCAATTTTATTCCTGAGAATTTGTCGCTGAAGTCTGCCTGGAACCTGTTTTTCTGCGAGTGACACTTTACCAAAGACTGTAAGTAAGCAAGTAAGCAAGTTATGTTTATTTATATAGCGCATTTTACAGACCAAGGTCACCCAAAGCGCTTTACAATGTTCTGAGTTCAAGTAGTGTTCCAATCATTCCACACACGGTGATGACGCCGAACACACTGGTGCATCAAAGCCTCCTATCATTCATACCTATTGTGCATGTTTTTAGTGGTAGGGGAAAACCGAAGCACCCCGAGGAAACCTACGCAGACACGGGGAGAACATGCAAACTCCACTCAGAAAGGCCTTGTTCCAGAACTACAGCTGCCATGAGACTGGACTTTCTCAAAAGCTGATCCTGAAACCTGTGTTATTCCAACAATAAAAGACACTAACAAGGAGCATAGATCTGTAAGTTCAGTGCTATTAACTCGCCGTATTCTACTGTCAGATAAATAACTAGATTCTGGACGGAGGACATAGAGCTCTGAGTTGTGTTGTAGTTGTGTTGCGGTTGTGTAATTCACTCACACAGGCCACTTTGAGCAGGTTCCAGAGCTCTCTTTGGCGTCTCTCCTGCAGACCCATCAGCACCTGCTCGCTCTCCGCCATCTTCTGCACCACCTCCTCCACTTTGGGCAGAAGCTGCATCGCGCCGCGTCGACACAGCGCTGTTTTACTGACAACACAAGAACACACACACAAACACAAATATTATCTCCAGGATCTTTACTTTTACCTTTTCAAATGTGATAAATCATTTAGAGCAGCGGTCTAAAGCAAAGGTATGTTGTGGCCCCCTAGTGGTCATCAAACATTACTGCAAGTGTGGGCTAATCTGTTATACATAGTTTTAAAGATAATTTCATCAGGAAAACAAGCACTCCAATTATTTTATGGCGTTAACATGGCGTGCTCTATCTGAAGGCAGACAATTTAAAAAAACAAAAATATATTGGAGTTATAAACATTTAAAAGTCAGTCTCTGCTAGTTTGGGGACCGCCATTTTTATTTACACCGGTAGAAGAGGCACTGAGCTGTTCGCGGAAAGGTGATAATCAAAAGAGGAGATCCGGAGAGTGGATGGACTAGAGAAAAGAGGGATAACAGTTTTTTATTACCTGAGATGAGTGTAGAAGTCTCGGACCTTCTTCTCAAAGAACTGCACGGCCTGAACCACGAGCCGCACCACCTCACGGCCGTCTCCGGGATTCCGCTGGTCTGAGGGCGAGATACACATGAATTTATTTATGACAAGGCCCTGTATGGCCATTCTCAGTGTGGTTTTACTGCAAATGGAAAATAAACTGAATCTGGAGGGGGAATAATACTTATATTTTAACTGCCAAATCAAATCGGTAAAATCAGCAGCTTTTTACCATCTAAAAAACATTGCCAGAATCAACATTTTTGTGACTAGATAGGGAAGTTAGAGACTACTGTCACAACCTGCCCACTGGTCTCCAAAACAAGCTTTCAAACAGCCTGAGTCCTGACTAGAACCAGGAAGTACAACCACATTAGTCCAGTCCTCAGGTCTCTGCACTGGCTTCAGCTCTGGTTGTTCCAAGTCTCTCCATGTCCTCGCACTTAACTACATCCGTGACATGTTAGAGCCATATGAACCAACTCTGAGGAGCACAGGGACTTGCAAAGAAACTTGTCTTCCCTTGCCAAAAATATGTTATTTGAATGAATGAATAATTTATTTTGACCATGGCAAACAAGAACAACAACAAAATAATAGAAAAATAAACAATACATGATAACATACAAACAATATATTACATATGTTTTGTTTTAATAACAACAATCCAGCTCAAAAAGGAGTGGGAAGAAGTTACGTCTTTTAAACTCCCACCCTCCTATTTATTAGGGGGGTGGGATTATATATATATTATTATTTTATTTATAAATATTGTAAAGTCCACAGCCTTCTCACCTCTGGGCTTTTCTCGGAGCTTGCGGAACATCTCCATGGCTTTCCCCTCTCTGTAAAAGAAAATGAGTTTCTTCATCTGTTGCTTGGTTCAGTGGATACACAGTAGATACAACTGGACTCTGGTCTTTCATTTTTAGGACTAAATCATTTTATTTGACACTTTGATAAATACTCAAACCATCAGATAAGGTTTTGATGTTATAAGTACTGTTTCCAGGCCTGAAATCTCTGATCTGCTCCAGCACAGAGGTCTTTTGTCACAGAACAATTGAACATATGACCTGAATAATCACATTTATGGCTAAATTGTTACGCAATGAGGCAGCGGAGACTCACAGCGTGTCCAGGGCCTCTCCGCTCCTCCACGGCTGCCGCTGCACGTCCACGATGTCGGGCTGCAGGTGCATCATCTCCTCCTCCAGTTCATTCACTTTGGCCTGAACACAGACACACACACGCTCTCGTATTGGCTTCTTACATCTTTAAAAGGGGTGAATGAGGATGCGTACCTGACCGCAGCTCTCGGCCGTCTGCTTCATCTCCCTCCAGACGCTCATGAGTTTCTCTGACGCTAGAAGTGAAAGCACAGAGAGAATCAACAGACATGACATTTTGTAAAACAGCAATTATGGCGATCCAGGACATTTACGGACTTTGGTCATCTGCCCCAATGGACCAATGGCTCGATGTGTTTTTTGATCATTGCATATCGATCGATTCTCTAATTTGTGTCCTCAGGGATAACTACTGTTGTGATTTAGAGCTACACAAAATTATTTTATTTAATTGAAGTGAAGTGATCAAGGGTTAGACTTGCTGTGCTTTTGTTTAGACACTTAAATAATAACGCTTCACATGTCATTATACATTCACTCTATACATGGTGGTCTATGGTGATAAACTACTACTGTAGCCACAACTGCCCTGGGACAGACTGACAGAAGCGGGACAACCAGTCTGTGCCATTGGCCCCTCCCACCACCACCAACTGTTCACAAACATACAACAGACTCATTCTAAGCAATGTGGGTAAAGAGTCTTGCCTAAGGACACACCAAAAGAATGGGACTTTACAGCCGCAGTCGCCCCGCTGTGGCATCAGGGGATCTCAGAGGTCTCCCATCACAGTACAAACCAGGCCCTTCCTTGCTTAGCTTCAGAAGTCGGAAATGATCTGGCTTTCACCTGCAGGTGATTTCTATATTGAAAACTGCAGCTGTTTTTTTAATGCTACACAAACAACAAGAGCCAAGATTACGCAAAAGTTCATCTGAGCCAAAATGCCTGACCAACAGTCGAGCCCCGTCACAGAATCGGGAAAACAAACAAAACTAGAAAATGTGTGTGTCCAGAGCAGTGAAAATAGGAGAACACAATTATAACATAGTAAAAATGCCGTATGTCGTATAAATACACATACATATAATATAATTGAATCTTTATGTGGCTCTAAAAGTAACAAACCAAACCTCATCCTATTAGTTCAGGATTTATTAACTTTTTTCTTTTATAAATAAAGAATGTTATTTGATCGGAAAAATGTCCATGTTGGCAATACTTTTGTTTTCAAAGCCAGAAAACAAGGATTTCTTTGATACTCGGCCATGTGATTCTGTGACTTAATTAAAGCTGGGGTACCTAACTTTCAACCCACAATAAATGAAACGCTTTGCGTTGCCTTGTGTAGGAAAGGCGCTCTATAAATAAACGTTGATTGATTGATTGATTGAAACTATTATTACTATTATTAATAAAATCCATCCTTGGTCTCAAAACCCTTTGGTTCTATCGCTTGTTTTCATATGCGCTGAAGGGTTAGCAGCACTTTCCATTCTCAGCATTAAGGACCTTAGTTCAAATCCCAGTTGGAATGGGTCCTTCCTGACTGGAGTTTAAATATTCTTTCCGAGTTTGCGTAAGTTCCCTCCAGATGCTCCGGTTTTCCCCCAACACTAAATACATGTACAATAGGTAAAATCCTCCAGCTCGGATCCTGAACAGAGCATCAACATCTGGAGATAACCCAAATCAAATGCAGAGGACAGAAAAAGTCTAACTTGTGGCCTCCGTCACATTTTCCCAAAAGAAAAGTGATCCAGACAGGGCCACCCTCACTCAGCCAATCAGCTCTCAGCGCAAATGGTCCATTAGTGACTTTGACCTAGCCTGGCCGTAGCCATCCGTACACTCCGCTCAATTATCATTTCCTTCATGGAACGTCTGGGTCTGGTCCCTGTGTTTGCGATTACAAACTGTTGAATTCCATCTGACCAATCAGTGAGTGTTGTAGTTAGATGTAGGCGACGTCAAGAGTTTGCGTCGTACGGGCAGGTTGTAGTTTGGCAATGGCAAAGAATGCGATAGTAAAGTAATCCGGTCTGGTTCTATCATGAAATTGAAGCCGGAGCAAGAGGAATGTTTGGCAAATGTAATCGCTGGCAAAGGTTGTGGTTCTATGCTCCACGGGGTCGGTTAGCGGCAAAGGAGATGGCTAGGCTAAATGCTAACGACAGACTTGGGCGCATTACATACGTCACGGTACACTCAGATCCAATTGTTTCAATCCGCAAAAGGAGTTAACCCCTCCTATCTGTAAACGGAGCTCAATGGAGCACCTCCAGACCTTAGTACGAAATGTAATTTGGACTATGGTGTGGTACGACCAGGCTAGCTCTGACGGCTCTTTCTTAGTTAGTATTAGTAATAGTTTTTAGTAATAGTAATAAGATAAAGAAGATGAAATTGGACTTTTAAAAGACAAACCTGCTTTCTCTACTTTAAAAAATCCCACTGTTTTAATGTTTTCTCTGTTTTGCAGCTTGAACTCTCCCACATGTTTCTGCAGCTTAGGCCAGGACTCCACCGGGCGCGTCTCCGTTGACGCGCGTTGGCTGCTGTCCGTCAGACGTCCGTAAAACGGACTAGTGGTCAAACCGGCTGCAGCAGCAGCAACTCTGGCTGTCCGTTTATCAGCCTGCTTTGTTTTTGTAGGAGACACGTTAGGGCATTGTGTGAATGAATGAATGTTTGGCTGATGGAGGAGTTATGTATTGTCGGTGTGCATGTGTGCGTGTGCGTGAGAGCACCTGTGTGTGTGTGTGTGTGTGTGTGTGTGTGTGTGTGTGTGTGTGGTGGTGGGAGGCGTGTGCGTGTGCGTGCATGTGTGTTTGGGCCTTTCTATACTTATTTAGCGCGTCATACACTTTTATCGGACCCAGCTCGCCTCTCTGCGGCTTTAGGCAACAGGCAGCCGCTATAGTTTTAAATAGAAGAAGCGGTGTGTGATGTGCATGAGCTGTGGCTATGATCTATGCAAAGCACAGCATATTGAAGCATTGAGGACGTCGCGATGGATGAGGCAAAACTTATTGAAAGCAATTGGAAAAAGGGGAGAGAGAAAAGAGAAAAGGACTCCTACATATCCAGTGTTGTGAGATCTGTCTCTCATAAGTGCAGCTCTGTGTGTAATGTGTGTGTGTAATGTGTGTGTGGATGGGAGCGCGCGGCGGTGAGGAGAGAGCGCCTCGCAGGTAGACGGGACAGAGCGAGAGGAAAATGAGCGAGGTGTATGAAAAGTTTAGCGTATTAACATTACGCGAAAAATAAATGGTAGATTTACGATCAGGAAACAATTATTTAAAGTAATACATGAAGAAAATTACACAGGTTTGTTAATAATCATTGTCATTAACAAATACTTATAACCAAGGACTACAGCATATATCAATATATGTTTAATAATGTGGTAAATATATTATTCCACTGTATTTTCAATGGAAAACGGACCCGACACGCGTCGACGGACGGAACAAATAGGATTGTTTCTATTTCGTCCGTCTGCGTCCGTTGCACCCTCCGTTAACGGAATATGTCCGACGTGCGTCGGACGGACGCATGCGGAGGCAGTGGAGCCACTTCCATTCACCCTCATGGAGATAACGGAGACGGAGATGAAACGGACGTGTTTGGACAGATCCGTCGTCCGTTTTACGCGCCCAGTGGAGTCGGGGCCTTATTCTTCACACACATTTATCAACACGACATACTTTTCCCACAGTATTCTGCACAGACGTACCGATTCCAGTGGCCGTCTGCTCCTGGTATTTGTCCATGTCGATCTGGAGGCTGGTGGAGAAGAAGTCCAGTTTGGCCATGAGCCGCTGGTGCATCGACACCATCTCTATCTTCTGTTTGGATAAGGACGAGTTGTGTCTCAGGAGACTCATGCTGAACGGGAATAAAATAGGACAAAATAAACAGTGGGGTTTGGGGAGTCTGCCTTAGTCCTGCACCACGTGGCCTCGGCCCTCGTTCTACAGCCTGAGTCCTGGATCTACAGCCTGTTTGTTGTGATGGAAAAGTTATTATTTGCTATTAAGGCTCTGTGTGTGGAGACGGTCTCTGGGTCCTTGACACTGGTCCAAACCATCACTCCCTTTTTGCTTCTTCTCTTTGTTGCAATTATAAATAGTGCTGAGGGGGAAAAAAATTGCTTCTCTCCAGTATTGTAATGTTTTGAGCACCCAATTAAATCGATACAGTAGAGAAAAGTATTGTGATGTTTAACTAAATAAGTATCTGTTTGGTTTTGGGTGTTTTCTCTGAGTTAAATCATCTCAATCTGATCTTACTGTATGATGTCTGCATCTCCACCGTTTCACCAATCAGAAAGTCTGTGATCCGGGCGCCAGAACTCACTGCGTTGAGCGAATCTCACTGGTAAAGTACCATGTGGCCGCAGAACTAAAAAAGGTCTTGCTATGATTCTCAAATCATTAACGACAAAACAGGGAATAAAACCAGGATTTCTATCTTTGTCAAAAAGGTGTTGATTATAGATTTGTTGTTGACAAAACTCTTGTCTATTCAGATATTATGATCCCATCAGATCATCTGCAGGATGATCCCATCAGGAGAGTGGGAGAGGCTGCAGTACCGCTTTTGGCCAGATTTTTACAAACTGCTCCTTTAACTTCTGTATCCTGGATTTAGTTATTTTTGAGTTTTTTGTTTATTAAATCTTATAAATCTTGGCAGTCCTGCATTTTGGGTCCTTCATCTCACCGCACATGAAAGAGAGGTCACCTTTCAGGTCCTCAGAGAATTAAATACATTGAATATAAACTGTCTGCGCTCCACACACTGGCGAGTGGTTCTTGCGTCACGTACATAGCTGCCTTCTGTCCCTGCTGCAGCCGCTTCCAGTCCTCCTTCAGGCTGCGGATGGTGTGCCATGCCTGGCCACACGTCGCCTTCAGGGCCGAGTACTGCAGGATGTGACTGGGTTGTTCTTCTGCAGAAACAAACGCCTTGTTACAAAAGAAAGTCCCAAATAACCCCAGTGTTATCTGGAAATCGGACACAACCCTAACCCTCTGTTATACATAAGGCATCATATACATCCTTTTTACTTAACTGTTCATTTCCAGTATATTTGCACAACCAGAGGGATCTTATGCAACATGTACAGTACATCTCTCCATTGTGAGATCCATAGTTCTATCTTATCTTAAATGTGTGTTATTGAATTGAATTTAACTTTATTTAACCAGAAAAGGCCTTTCAGAATCGTTCTCAGGGGAGTCCTGGTCCCATACGGGGGTTGAGAGGGTGTTACATGAGCTATTGTACATGTGTTTAGTGATAGGCGCAACCGGAGCACCTGGAGGAAACATACGCAAACACAGGAAGAACATGCAAACTGAACAGGACTGGGCTTCAAACCCTCTTGCTGAGGAGCGAGCGCGCTAACCACTGCTACTGTGCTGCTGTTACATCCGTTTGATATAAAAAATAAAAATCTACCGGAATTAGAAATAATTTATATTTATATTGCGTTAAGGAAGCGACAAAGTTGTAAAGTCGTAACAAAAAGCATGAATAAAAATAACAGAAGTGTCACTCACGAACAAAGCGTATGTTTTCAGGCAGCGGGCGAGGAGTGAACTGTGGCTCATAGTGACACGAGGAGCGATCGAAGAGGAAAACCATCGGTAAGTCGGTCCGTCGTCCGTCTATTTTCTACAGACAGAAACATCTCATCAGTCACAGCCTTAATACAGTTTACCGTACTGTCTGGACTATAAGGCGCACCTGTATATAAGCCACACCACATCATTTTTGAAAAGAAAATTTTTGTTTGTTGTTGTTTTGTCCACATATAAGCCCCACCTGAATATAAGGCGCAGGTTTTCATGTTGTAATGCAGCAGAGAGACTATTTTAACTGGAGACAGCATGATTTATTAATGATGTGTTAGCTTAACCGTTAGCTTCCATGACTCATTCCCCTTCTGACAATAAACAAGTGTCCTAAAGCAGCTAAAACTTGGAGTCAATATAATAAGTCCATAAACTCTGCTCTGACAACAGCTCAACTCTACAACAATACAAACACACATATTAGCCACATCGCTATATAAGCCGCATTAATCAAAGTACTAACTAAAAGTAGCGGCTGATAGTCCAGAAATTACGGTAAAACATTTTTTATTGAGAGAAGATTACAGTGAAGTCCACGGCGCACTGCAGAGCCAGTCCCTGGGCTTCCAGCGCCAGACCGGCCTCCAGCAGCAGCTCCTGATTGGCCACCGGGATCTTGGAGTCTTTCTCAATCCTCTCCTGGAGCTGAGCCACGGTCTCGTCCTCCGACACAGAGTAAACTGTGGTCTTTGTGGTCGTCATGTTGAGGACGTGCACCAACTGAAGGACAGAGGACACCAATGTAATTTTATCATCATGAAATAATACAATTGTAAAGGGTGCCTAATGCCTAATTTGGGTTAAATAATTCTTGCACACTTTCTGTAAATGTATGTCTCCTTTATTATATATTTAAAGTAACAATATGTAGCGATTATTATAAGAAGGTGACGGTGATAAATCTGTTTGTGAAAAGGTGCAGACCTTGAGTTTCAGCAGGAGCTCGAGTTGAGAGAAACTATCGCTGGGAGTCGCGTTCTTGTCCTTCCCTCTCTCGTGCGGCGACCATTTGAGCATCTGCTTCAGCCACCGCTCCATCTTTTCCAGTAAAAAGCTGAAAAAGGAAAACAAATCCTCAGAACAAAAATCAATCTTTATACTTCATTTCAAAGAACAAGTATCATGCAAGTGTGTTTTTTTAACTTGTGTGCCATTAACGCACGAATACGTCAATTGCGTTTTCTGCTAAATTCATGTTCCCAGATGTCTGTTATATCTAATATGTATGGGGATTGCGTTAGAGCATATTTTATCGAGCCAGCAGGTGGCACCAGCGCTGCCTCTGGATGTTTTGAAAACGGGATGCACTTGTTGCATCCTCTTTTTCTCAGCTTTCTGTCTGAGACTGGTAATTTCAGTAAAACTTCCCTCTACTCGGCTGGAGATTACAAGGGAACAAAACAAGCTAGAAACAAAATTATTTTTGCTGATGAAAGTAGACAGTCCATTCTCTCGGATTTCAGATAGTCATAGAACCAGTGGGGGAGGGTCCCAGCTCAAAAGTGGCCAAAATGACGTGCGCTGACATGCTTGCAATACCACCCCGGGCCGATGGGGGTGGACCCAGAAGTAGAATTAGCCAATGCTAACATATAGCATTGGCAGACCTCTCGAAAACGTCTTTACAGGATGGACCAAAAGTTGGCTCTTGGCCCAAAGCTCCGTTCCACATGTGTGTCGATGCTGAGGGGGGTGGATTTTTTTGGTCCACTCTAGTTTACTTGCTGCGAATTTTTGAAGTCTCTCGTTCAAATGAATGGAGCTGCGCCGGCTGACGCATGCGCAGATGCGTTTCACAATTTTCTTGTGGGCGGGACCACTCGCGGCCATTTTGGATTGCTCCAGTAGAGCACATTTTTTGGCCCATTAGTTAGAACGGCGGAGATAGGCGTGACTCTGTCCATTAATATATACAGTCTATGGGCTATACTGAGGCAATACTCCCATCTAGTGGTAGAGCTGGGATTTTACTCATGACGCCACACTCCGAAAATACGTCACAGCGGATTAAGTTTGAAAAGTCGGAAAGTTGGAAAAATCTAGATCAAGTCAAATTCTGCCTCTGGTGGTAACTTGTGGAGTTACAGGCGGATTTTTTTTTTTTACCCTCTCACTGGTCTCTCTCTTGTCTCTTGCTGGTCTCTCTCTCTCTTGTTTCTTTCTGGGCTCTCTATTGTCTCTTGCTGGTCTCTCTCTCTCTTGTTTCTTTCTGGGCTCTCTATTGTCTCTTGTTGGTCTCTCTCTCTGGGCGTTCTCTGGTCTATCTTCTCTCTTGCTGGTCTCTCTAGACCAGGGGTGCTCACACTTTTTCAGCATGCGAGCTACTTATAAAAGGATCAAGTCAAAATGATCTACCTACTACAAAAATGCAAATCACATATTTATTTCAAAAAATATTCTTTATACCTACAATGTATGTTTATGTACATGCAAAACCGCATGAGCCAATATAGCACAACACAACACAATTACCTATGTACATTTTTTGTCATTACCCGAGTTTACTCTGATGACTTGCACTGAATTGAATCGGCCAGGGATGCATAGTCCGGAAAATTGGTGGTAACTCGCTGACAAGTTTGTCGTGGTTTAGCTTTCCTGCCCTGAGCGCGGTTGTTTGCGCATGTGCAGTCACCTAAGTGTCAGTAAAACATTACTGAGTAAAACACAGATGTCATTTGACTGTGGTGCCATGTCCATGTGCCATGCCTGTTTTTTTAAATCCAAATATTTCCCCTCCTCAGTTTATAAAATAATTTGCATCCACACATCTGCGTTATCAATCACATTCGTAACATTCCAAACATGTGCGTCTCTTACGTCCTGTCCTGCGTTGGGGAAAAACACAGAAGTGGGCGGAGTTCTGATGCAGACGCCGGTAACGGCACTTTTACAGTCATAGAAGACACTCAGAGTAAAGAGTAAGACGTATGTTTACAAGCACTGACCCCGTCCTCAGCCCTGGTTTAGTCCTGGTTTAGTCCTGGTTTGGTTGTTTTCGAGCGTGAGTCCGATCACTTTGCTGCTCTCTGATGTGGAGGATGTTCGCTGCTGCGAGCATCTCACAGCGAACAGTTTTTAAGGTAGTATGATCCATGCTTCAGTGATCAGAGGAATTTAGGGGGGTACTTTGGCGTGCGAGAACGCAAAACTCCGGTTATCTCTGTCTACACACAAATGCATTAACGAGTTTTCAAAAATCTCCACTTTGCCCGGAGTTTTTTGTATATATTCGTTTAGAATGTGTAATTTTTTATTTATTTAATGCGATCTACCATTACTACCTTTGCGATCGACTGGTAGATCGCGATCGACGTATTGAGCACCCCTGCTCTAGACTCTCCCACTCTGCTCTCTCTCTGGGCCCTCTCTTGTTGGTCTCTCTCTCTGATCTCTCTCTTGTTTCTTTCTGGTCTCTCACTGGTCTCTCTCATTAATCATTCAAACCCTGCATTTTCTATCTAAGATATCATTTCACATTCTAAAACATGAAATGACGAAACAAAAGTGTCATTCTTGTATTTAATAGAAAAAAAGAAAGAAAAAAAAAATGCAATAATAAGTGCTTAGAACCAAAATCATCTGCAGCCTCTCACCTGTTGAGATTGTTGGGCTGGGGGAGGTTCTTGCTGTAGCGAATCTCTCCAGAAAGATCCTCGTAGACGACAATGTCCTCGTCTTGCTTCTGTCGAACTTTGTTGTGCCTAAAATCAAAACATACGGATGACCCCAAACAACAACACACTAACATGGACCTACTGAGAGACATCTTAAAACAAGCTAGTACCAGCGAACAGGGGACCAGTTGGGTAAAAACGGCCGGAATCCTGTGATGCACTCGAAGGCTAAAGTCCCAAAGCTCCAGTAGTCCACGGTGTAGGTGTAACGGTGCTTCTCTATGAGCTCCGGAGCCTACACACAACAAGACAGACATCACAAGTCAATACGGCAAGTTTAATTGTATAGCACAGTTTGGACACATTGGACCTCAAAGTGCGTAAACAAGGCATTAAAATCACAACGCAAAAACAGTATACCATTCTTTCCGGACTATAAGCTGCAGCCTCAATTTTTTAGAAAGATGTTGAATGTTGTACTTGTACAAGCCGCACTGGATTAAAAGACACACCTTTAAAAGAATGTGGCTACAAACTTGAGAAGTGACTCAGTGACAGTTCTTAATCTTCCAGTGTGAAGCAGAAAGATGAGGAGCAACATCTACCATAACTCTGTTCACTTTCATGTCTACACAGAAAACCAAAAAACTATTTATTATATGAGATATTTACACAAAGATGTTATAAGTGAGGAATTTTAAACTGTATTTAATCTGCTAGTAAACAAATAAATACATATTACAAATGCTTATTTCCAACACTGCCTGTGACTTGTAAATATAAAGTACGTTTGTATTGGAATTGCACAAATGATCAAAGTATGCGCAAACTTCTAGTATTTTCCATTTTGACGAGGGGGAAGTACAAATGACTGATTGACATTTCATACAATTTAATTTGACTTCTGTGAATTCAGGCCTAAATGCAAAAACATATTACCCATATGAAGCCATCTTTTTGGAGGTCTGAACATCCATTTTTGAGTGGAAAGATCTCCACACCTTCTCATTGAAACAATTTTTCAATAAAAATGGTCAACAAATACATCATTTGTTTTCATTCTGTTGGTCTACAGTTACTTGGCAAAATGTTTTGGGCGGCAAAGAAAAACAAAAGCCGCACCTCACTATAAGCCGTAGCAGTCAAAGTGAGGGAGAATACGGAATACGGTAAAAACTTTGATTAACTTACCAAGTATTGAAGTGTTCCCACAAAGGATAAACACAAACTGCTTGCATCCAGCTCTTTCACGTATCCGAGGTCTATGATCTTGTGGATTAACTAAGAAAGAAAATATAACAAAAAGTATGTAAAACAGTTAGACATATGTGCAGAGCAGGGAATGAACAACACATGACTTTAATATGTCTGAACAGTTACAGTCTATGGTCGGACTCTCGTTGCATAACACATTTACGCGCTTATGAAAAACAAACATATACATTCATGTGGTCACTCAGACAATGTTATGTTTTCACTCAGACAATGTAAATTTTTCCATTAAAGCTGAGGTACCTAACTTTAAAACCACCACATTCCACTATGTAACAAAAACCATCAGACTTGTCCCGGTCCCATGCATGTGTTTCTGTCCCTGTCACGTCTCTAGATCAACTTCTTTCAGACAGAAAAGAGAAAAAGAGAGGACCACCCTCTCTTCTCCCCCCCCCCCCCCCCCCCCCCCTCTGGACCCGAAACACATTCTCTTCCTTGTTTCACAAAAACTCGATCTAAAATAAAATGACACGCCAGCACAAACCTGCGCTACTTATTCTTTAAAAGGACGTATATCCCAATGCACTGCATGGATATGGATAGAATTTAACTAATGAATACAAAAATACAGTCAGTAATAAAATTGTAAATAATGACAGTGCATTAAAAAGAGTAAAGAGATGATTCCTACAGTTGTACGCACAGCTAAACAGAACTGTTTTTAACCTGGAAACCCACATTTCCAGGCAGACTATTCAAGATCCAGTCCAGTCCCAAGGCCAGTCCTTATGCTCCTCAAAGTCATCAGCAGGAGGCCAGTCCCTGTGCTCCTCAGAGTCACAGCAGGAGGCCAGTCCCTGTGCTCCTCAGAGTCATCAGCAGGAGCCAGTCCCTATGCTTCTCAGATTAACAAGCAGGAGACCAGTCCCTGTGCTCCTCATAAGTCCCAGTTGGATCACATGGCAATAGGCAAATCCAACCACCATCCCATTCCTCATACACACTGTATATAAAATCCATTCCTAACACTTCCAGAGGGATTAGCAGGTTTCCACATCAACTCTTACGAGGTCCACTTAACACTGTCAGATTGTGCGGATGGTTAAAAGTGCTCCGCAGAGGCTTGTGTGGGGACAGAGAGACTTTATACGGCCCTTTGTTGTGGTTTGGGTGGATTTGGGGAAAAAACAGTGCGGTTCACAGGGTCTACCACTCACCCGTTGCTCTCCCTGCTGCAGCACTATGTTTTCCGGTTTCAAATCTCGATGGATGATCCTCTTTTGGTGGAGATACTGCACAGCGGAGGCTAAAAGAGGAAGAAGGACGTTTATTTGTATAGCACATATAAAACAAAAACTGCAGGTGAATGGGCTGAACTTAAAGACAGACAGAGACACTATTATATCTATTCATAAAGATATACGTAAAAAAAGACAGGGCAGGAACACACAAAAACATACCAAAAACAAAGAAATCAGACTCAACTATGGAAATCTTTACTAAAATATAGTTTGAATAAATGAGTCTTAACTTTACTCTTAAAGTTAGTTCATCTTTCCCATTATTTTTGACCATAAACAACAACAAAGACACACACACATACATGCAGGCAAACACACACACGCACAATACACACATACACGCAGGCAAACACACACACGCACAATACACATATGCACACAGGCAAAAGCACACATACATATACACACACACACACACACACAGACACACATGCATGCAGGTACACACATAATAAACACACACATGCACACAATACACACTCACACATATACACAGGCAAACACACACACACAGGCATGCAGGTACACACATAATAAATACACACATGCACACAATACACACGCACACATATACACAGGCAAACACACACCCAATACACACACACACAGATGCAGATGCATGCAGGAACACGCACACAAACACACATGCATGCAGGCACACACACACACCCACACACAGACGCAGATGCATGCAGGCACACACACACACACCCACACACACACGCAGATGCATGCAGGCACAAGCACACACACACGTAATACGCACACAAACACACACGCATGCAGGCACACACACACACACACACACACACACACAATACACACAATACAAATACACACACACAAACGCCACACAATACAATGCTATAACAACGTCCTGCAATAGAAATCAAAACTATACCGTACAAACAGTCACACAATACATGACAATACCACAGTGAGTTACCATGGCAACTGTCTACATGTCTGTGTTGTGTTAAAGCCAGTATTTTCTACAGTTGCATTGTAGATAATACTCAGACATAGAGAGCAGCAGCAGTGTGTGTGAGAGAGAGTGTGTTTGGGTGTGGGTACATGCCTGGGCCTTGACTCGTGCTGTCGGGGCCTCACAGGGGAGTCCCCGTTATCAGGTAGAACGTAAAGAGGGAGTTTCAAGCTTCATTATTGTTGATTTGCGATTTGTACCATATGTCACTGGTTCACAGCCTTTTTGTTTGGACACCGACCAAGAAGCTGCGGTTTTAAGGCCATGTTCACACAAAGTCAAAGCCGTTTCCACCAGCAGACCGACTTGGACCTATACTCTACTCTTACTCTTCCATTGCGCTTTAGTATCTGGAACCAATTGGGACAATAAGACAATGACGATAACAATATGACTGATGCTAACAAAGTGGAACCAGTGCACTTAACACTATGTGTATAATACATAGACTGTAGTGTTTGCAGAATGCAAAAGAAGCCGATTTGAACAATACCGAGGTGGAGACAAATAGGCATTTCCAGTCTCATCGACGCCGCTAGCCCAGGCTTTGAGAGGAGAGTGAGCATGCTCCGTGACCTGTGGGAGAGTCCAACGAACTACCGACTGACTCATATCTGAATTTATAAAGACAATATAGTTGGTCCACAGGCCTTAGTTTAGATCCAGGATCCAGGACAGAGGCTGCAGAACCAGGACTAAGGCTCCCGGTGAGGAGGGGGGTGCCTCCTATCATACACACTCGCTTTCATCTCTGGTTGTGAAACACCGGACGTATAGAGAACCTGTTCCCATGGCGACTCATAGCTCCAGTCCATCTCCAACTACACTTAACATAAGAGTCACCAGTTTACGCCCACTTCCAGAGTAGGAACCATTCCACTCCTGCTTTCATGCGTCATGCAGTTGACCCCTCAGTAGTGTGTGTGTGTGACGTAAAACTATAGTGTTTGTAGAAGCCGTGTGCGTTCTCTCACAGATGTCCTGCAGCAGTATCAGCACGGCCCCCTCCCTCATTCCACAGCAGTTCTCCGGAACATAGAGATGCTGCACACATGAAAAAAAACATAAAAGTAGATTCAAACAGCGTTTAATGGCAAAGCATGTTTATTTTTATAGCACAGTTCATCCACAATGGTTAACTCAAAGTACATTAAAAGAGTGAAGATACAATCCTTCAGTTGTTGGAGCTAAACAGAACTGTATTCTATCCTGCATTTGAACATGGTCAAAGAAAAAGCCTGTCTCAAGTTTTCAGGAAGGGATAGCAGCTGCATAAATCTGAAACGTTGCCTCCCCATGTTTGGTCTTTCTTGACTCTGGGACCAGCCGGAGGCCAGTCCCTGTGCTCCTCAGAGTCCCAGTTGGTTCATATGGCATTGGAGAGACTTGTAACAACCAGAGCTGCTTTATAGTATATTGTCTGAGCCACAGGAAGCCAGCGCAGAGACCTGAGAACTGGATTAATGTGATGGTGCTTCCTGGTTCTAGTCAGGACTCGAGCTGCAACGTTTTGCAGCAAGTTTGTTTGGAGAAACCAGTGAGCAAGACGTTAAAATGTTGCCATTGTTTTTTCACTGCAGATCCTGATAACAAAATTGACTCACAGAAACACGCATCTTTCTTAAACTTTTGTAACAATGTGTAATAGTGGTTTTTGCTTGAACTCCTGCGCACTTGAATATAAAATGAGTGAGTGTGTTTTTAGGAACGTCTTCAGTCAAACAGGAATGTCTTTAATCTCCTGCAGGAATGGGAAAGAGATCTGTTTATGTAGTGAATTATAAAAGTGTCTTGTAAAATCCACAAACTTTGCACAACAATAGTGACTTTAGTTTTTGTATTTTTACTTTTCCTGGTCATTAAGTGACCTTTCCATCTTCTCTACGCCTCAACTGCCAACTGTCACCATCTGGCTGCCTTTAAACTCTTGTGTTTTTGTTTCTGCTGTTGTGGAGCCAGGGTTTATTCTACCGCAGGACGTGGATATTGACGTAGTTGAAGCTGAAGGACTCCATCCACACAAACACGCAGCCGGAGAGCGCGCACACACACACACACACACACACACACACACACACACACAGACACACACACACACACACACTCTGTCTGTCTCAGAGTGGAGCATTTAGGTAGAGTTTTTCTGGTCTACAGTGGTTCCTCGTTTATCGTGGTTCTTACACTTTAAAAATAGTAGGTTTAACATGATCATCTTCAACACAGAGCTCAAACTTTGATTAAGATCCAGACAGAGTTGTTCTCACGTTGTAAATTGTATTGTAATTATTTGAAATGTATTTTATCTTCTGTAATGTAAAAGCGCCTTGTGGATTAGTGTTGAAAATTAACATTTGTGCATTTGGTTTGTCCAGTGTTATTGTTATGTCCATATTAAATAAATAAAATAATGATTAGTAGAAGGTTATAGTTTCATTTGCATAATGTTTGAAAAAAAGTCTTACTAGTGTTAAAATAAACGGCAAAAAGCTAAATCTTCTCAGTAGCAGCTCTATGTTGTTGCTGTATAACCCTCACACAGACTTTATACACTTTTCTCACCACCTGAACTCAAGAAGTGAAGTGAGTTCTATCTACTCACTGCACTCACACATACCCACACAAACCCACACTATACACACATACCCACACTGCATGCATACACACACACATACACACACTCACTCACTCACACTACCTTTCTGAGGTCTCCACCCTGACAGAACTCCATGGCCAGAAGAGGCAGCTGATTGATCACCAACAGATCCTCCATTCCCTCGGGAACTTCTCTGGCCGAGACAACATTCGGATGGTCTAACCTAAAAGAAACACACACACGCACACACAAACACACGCACACACACACGTCACACACACGAAATGAACAAGTTACATAACATATTTCATCTTTCATCAAACGTACACAGATTACGGCTCTTTATGACTCAATATAGACATGTGTTTTAGATTAAAATTAGGTTAAAATAACACTTAGACAGTTTAATGTACATAAAACACCCCTGGACAAAAATGATGAAGTAAGAATTTAATTAAAATAAATGACAAACATGTACACGCATGACCAGGTGCAAGGCCACAGCCGGTGATGATGGAAGCGAGACGCCGAACACACTGGTGCATCAAAGCCTCTAACCAACACCATCCATTCACTCTCTCATTTAAATTCATACCTATTGCACATGTTTATAGTGGTAGGGGAAACCGGAGCACCCAGAGTAAACCTACGCAGACACGGGGAGAACATGGAAACTCCTCTCAGAAAGGCCCGGTTCCAACTGAGATTTGAACCCAGGACCTTCTAGCTGAGAAGCGAGAGTGCTATCCACTCAGCCACCGTGTCGCCCTGGTGACAACTTCACTCTTGTTACACTGTGAGAAGTAACTTGAGCACTATTCTCTCCTGTCTCCCACTTTATCTGTCATCCTCAGTACAACTTCAATACTATTCACCCACTTTCCCAGGGCCTGTTTCATGGCGTGATGATGGGACCCCTGAATGCGGCCTCTTTCATCTGCAGCCCCTGTTCAGCACCAAAGAGCCTCAGTCCTCGTTCTACAGCCTGAGTCCTGGATCTATAGCCTGTCTGGCTATAGATCAACGTGGGCCTCCCCAAGGTTTTCCCTTTATTCCAACTGTATTCTTGGGTTTCATTAAACTGACCTGTAGGGGGGGAATGAGCAGAGGTGGGACAACTCAGGTTTGCTCCCATTGAAAACCATGTAAAGTCTGTCTTGGAGTCAAAGGCTCTCCTCCTGTGCGGTGTACGGTTGTTGTAACAGTCTTAATCGGGGACACTCAATTCTAAGGGAGAACTAACAAATATTTCTCAAAAGAGTCTTGACTTTGGGCATTTTTGGAGAAAAAAAACAGAGGTAATTTCTGCGTTTCATTGGGGTGGCCTGCAGGGGGCGCTTATCTGGGAAAGCCTTGATCCACCTCGCCCGCCTCATTCCAGTGATTTTTTTCAAAGTGTCCTCCTTTATATGAGACCACAGTTGGAACACGGAAGAAACTCTTGTCTTTCTCTCTATTTGTGCGGTTGCTACAATATACACCGCACAAAAAGATGGCATTTTGACAGCGCTTCTTCTTCTACTATATCTCTGTGTATAAACCCGGCAGACTGCACCACCAGGGTACGTCACGACCTTTTCCACGTTTGATATTCGCGCCACTGCCCTGACGTCATATGAAACCCAAGAATAACTTTGATGTTGTGCCTTGCCGATGCAGGGTCTAAGGACAGTGAATATCCTGAAAAATGTGCAATGTATTGTCCTTCATGTGACTTCACTTGTGTGAAGTTTTATAACCTTTTTCCCACTAACCCACAAGTGAGCAACGGTCTATACAACCCTTTATATTACTGTCTACAACATTGGGAATTTTGGTGGAAAAACACATGTTTTTCTGAGTGGGATTGACCCCATTCTTTCACATACCAGATTCATCCTCAGCAATGTGGGTGAAGTGTCTTGCCTAATGACACTGCACACTTTAACGACACAGCGGTCTGAATGTAGCGTATACAACAGCAGGCTCTCATCCAAGTACTGCCCAGACTTCAGACTGCTTAGCTTCGGAGATCTGCGACAACAGGTTTTGACGTAATAATAATAAAAACGTTTGTATACGTTCAGAAATGTAGCGTGGTGCCAGAACTAAGCAAGATTTAAAAGTGACAAATATAATCTGTAAATCAAATCTAAAATACACAGGGAGCCAGTGGAGAGATGTTAAAGCAGGAGTGATGTGCTCTTTTCTGTTGAAACCAGTCAGTAACCAGCGATCTGAACCAGTTGGAGGCAATCGAAGCGAGAGAAGATGAGGGCATTTGCGATTCAATGGTGATCAGAAGTTGTGAGAATGTTTTTGATCTTAGAGATGGTCCAGAGGTGAAAGACTCGGGACAGGGTAGTTTGCTTGACGTGGTTTGCGAAGCGCAAGATGAGAGTCCAGGTGGGTTTGGAAGTGGGAGATTGTAGGCAGGACGTATTGCCTTATGAATCTTGTATAGCACAGTTCATATACAAGGACATTCAAATCCATATGTTAAGAAGAGTGAAGGGAAAATCTTTCAGCTCTTTATACAGCTAAACAGAACCTGCATTGGCAGAGTAGAAGCCTGTCTCACATTTTCAGGGAGACTGTTTCAGATTTTAGCTGCATGAATCTGAAACGCTGCCTCCCCAATGTTTAGTCCTGAGTCTGGGCACCAAGAGGAGGCCAGTCCCTGTGCTCCTCAGAGTCCGAGTTGATTCATATGGCCCTAACGTACATGGAAATGACCAAATAGGCATTTAACATTCTATGAAGACTCAATGATTGGCAACATGAAAAGTAACATTTAAGACTTTGATTTACCCGCTTGTCTTTCCCCTTGAGCGCTTTGAGCAGTGAGTACACAATAAGTAAGTTTAAAGAGTAACAATATTTGGGTTAATAACATAATTGCAGCTTGTATGTGTCGCATGGTTTGGCGTGGGTGCGGGACTGCGGCTCTAACCATGTCTGCTTCAAATCAACACGCTCGTTAAATGTTTGCACCCGGAGATGACAAAACACACACACACACACACAGACAGACACACACACACATATACACACACACACACACATTTGCCATCCACTGCATTTAAAACTATTGTGAAATGACACCCAAAGTGGCCGGTAATAGACAACACAGATGTGGGTGGAAATGAAAAAAGCCACAGAACAAAATGAGGAGGTGGCTCATTATCCCGGTCAAAAATAACCTACAAACGACCGAAATATCTGCGGCTTCAATGTTGTTATAATTACTTATGTCTTTGCACGTATTTTATAGCTCCTTTTATGGAAAACAAATGGGAGAATGGAGTCAAACGTCAAACGCATATTGTGTGATTCATGGGTTTCGTGGAGAATCCAAAAGTACACTTTGCATCACACTATTTATCTGAGCGTTAGTAAAAGTTAGAAAAACATTGCAATTGCAGAATGGAGCAAGAAAGAACAAGCAGTGAAGCAAAACACCAGCCCTCGGAGTGACGTTGAGCTGAGATTATAGATGTTTTCAAGTGTTTTCCTTGGTTTCTTCACGATTACACGAGCCAACAAAGGTGAAATCCTAAAAACAAGTTCCCATCTGCACCGTGCACCAGTAGGTTTAACACAAGTATTGTAAACGAGTATACATGTGCCGAAAAATGAAAAATTTAGGTTTTGTGAAATATCCGCCCCTAACTTCTTCTACTAGACCAGATGTGGGCAAAGTGTGCGGCCGGGGGGCTACAACCGGCCAGATTCACATTTCTGTGCAAATCGGGCAAAGGAAACTTCCCAGCCGTTAACTTCAAACCTGTCTGTTGATTATTTATATACACTAAATCAGGATTCAATAGGTTTTAGAGCAGGGGTCTCCAACCTGTGGCTCGGGAGCTACCAGTAGCTTGCCAGCCCTTTTCAGGTAAGTTAGTAAGTACGTTTTTTTATTTATATACCGCCTTTTCACTGCAGATCTGAGTCTCAAAGCGGTTTACAATTGTTAATTTTGGGCATTTGTCTCTCACTCCACACAGAGATGGGAGCGGGGTCACCAGTACAGGGGGCGCATGCCAGAACTATTGGACATATTTTTAGTGGTAGGGGAAACCGGAGTACCCGGAGGAAACCTACGCAGACACGGGGAGAACATGCAAACTCCACTCAAAAAGGCCCTGGTCCGACCGGGATTCGAACCCAGGACCTTCTTGCTGAGAGGCGAGAGTGCTATCCACTCAGCCACCGTGCCGCCCGTAGGTAGCTCGCTAAAGGATTTAGAATTTAAAAAATGATCTTGGATGAATACATTGAGCCATTACATGTCTATTATAAGTATAAATATAGGGTTATACAGTATTAAGATATTATTTTACATCTGTTTTCTATGTTTTGTCATAATTATTACGACTGCAAAAAGGAGTAGCTCTCTGCCTCTTCTGTTGTATAAAAGCAGCTCTCTAAATGAAAAAGGTTGGAGACTCCTGGTCTAGAGGATCCGCTGGGTACAAAACGTAGATCCAGTGACCGAACGTTTAAACTGATAGAGCTAAGGTTTAAACAGAGAAGACTCCAGAGCTGACGACCTGTGCTTATGAAGGAACCAGTGTGAAAAGGGTCCATTGAAATCTTACTAAAATCTCCAAGACTAAAGTCTTCACAAAGACACATAATGAAAGTATAAATTGTGCCTGGTAGAAACATATTTATTGTTCTGTCTGAAAAATGTAACTTTTAATATTTGGCAGGAAGAGTTTTACAAACAGGAAAATCTATGGGGTAAGGTTACTGTCAATAAAGACGTGCATGTCTAAAAAAAATGTGTGCATATCTATCGGTATTTGTGCATAAAAATATGTTATTTTTATAAATTCATGATAAAGATTTAAAAAACTCAAAAGACATGGGATTTTGTAATTAAGAATACAAATCTATAAAACTATATGTGTGATTTCGTACTTGTGAATATGATTTTTTTGTGTGTTTGCATTTTCTTCTTGGAGAATACGAATTCCAGCAGTAATTAACCAAACTGTCAATATCTGTCACTGCTCACAGACATTAACAATCGAGCCTGCGCAGAGGTGATCAACTTCATTGCCACAAAACTAAACATGGCAGAGGGCAACAACATTAACAACGTGGCACAAAATCAGGTATATAACTATATTTTTATCATTTTGGTCGTAAATGAACGTGTAAGAAATAGTAATTCCATAAAATGTGTTCATAAAAATAAGTTTCTTGTCCCTCTCTAGAAACGGAATGTTGATAATA